CAAGTTGATATATTACCAATTGTGCAATAGTTTGTGTATCCGCTGCATTACTAGATCGAAGACAAAATATACGATCAGTTATTGGTGTTAATTTATCTGTAAATCGATTCATAACAAATTTTCTATGTTAAAAAAGGGAAAAAATTCTCTTAAAATGAATATGAAATTTCTGAAAAATATTCATACCTAGATCAAGTACGTGTATTAGCACCAATGATTACTCTTCCATCTTAGTCAACAGCAACAATGGTTGTCTATAAAATCAATTCTAATCAATTTATTTGTCTACGAGGAAATCACGCGAACTAATATCTGCCCTTTATGTTCCTGTTGGACTTACAAGAACGCCTTGATGAGACTAGCAAAAGTCTAAAATGGTTCCGTCTCCATGAGGTGTGTTAAGATCATTTTAGTGAATTTTCGATCCAGCTTTAGGCATATATCGGAAAAATAAAAAATAAAAAGCAGAATTTCAAAATAAAATTTTGCTTATAAATAGGTATTATCATTCATAGAATATCATGAAAGTTTCAGCCGAAACGAATATTTTTTTTTTATCGAAATATTGAATGTTGTTTTCGGCTAAAACTTTTAGGATCTTCTACGAGTCATTCGATCATATATAAACAAAATTTCACGTCGAAATTCTGATTTTTATTTTTATTTTTTAGCATGTATCTAAAGCTGAATCGAAAGTGCAGTAAAACAATCCTAACTAGCCTCATAGAGATGAACTGCAACACTCTATCGCCAATTTCTCCTGTACTAGTACTTAATTGAAGTTCCGGAGATACCCATAGAAGACATCATGTGCTTTATAGACTCAATCTGAACTCAAACGGTGGATAACAGTTCGGCTGGTTCTCTTATTAGAAGAAAAAAAAAACCTTACACGCGTTGATACTGGTTGTTGCTGAAATTCAGCTAGTAGAAGATGTTTATTCATTTGACTATATTTAGTTCGTTCATGTAATTTATCTTCTTCTGCAACGTATGTTAATGGATTAAATATATTCATTATTTATCTACAATAAAGAAACTGTTTTGTTTTGTTTTGTTTTGTTTTTATATTTGTCTGAAATAATGTTTGAATAAAAGAAAACAGAATAGTTTTAAAATATTTAAAGTTTAATTATATGTCATATAACGTGGTGTTGAACTAAATTTAGCATATGCTTTAATAACCTTATTAATAGCTTCAATAAAATCTTTTTCTGTTGCAATTTTTCGTCGTGCACGAATAGCAAACATACCAGCTTCCGTACAAACACTACGTAATTCAGCACCAGTACTATTTGGACATAATCGTGCTAATAATTCATAACGAATATCTTTTTCAACACTCATTGATTTCGTATGAATTTTAAATATATGTGTTCGACCCTAAAGATAATAAACAAAAGAATTTAATAATATTTCTTTTTTTTCGTACAAAATAAAATTTCATTTACTTCTAACTCTGGTAAATTAAATTCAACTTTTCGATCAAGTCGACCTGGACGTATAAGTGCTGGATCAAGTGTATCAGGTCGATTAGTTGCCATTAGAACTTTTATATTTCCTCGTGGATCAAAACCATCTAATTGATTAATTAATTCAAGCATTGTACGTTGTACTTCATTATCACCACCAGCACCATCATCAAAACGTGCTCCACCAATAGCATCAACTTCATCAAAAAATATTATACAAGCTTTTTTACCACGAGCCATTTCAAATAATTCACGAACCATTCGTGCACCCTAAACAAAACAATAGTTTTGTCTTTCAAAGAAAATATTTATAATATAATATAACAAACTTCTCCAACATATTTTTGAACAAGTTCAGAACCAATAACACGAATAAAACAAGCATCAGTTCTACAAAAAAATTTCTTACTTAACAAATGCAATATAACTTCACTATGAAGCAAACCTAGTCAACACTATAGAAAAAGTAACATGTTTGTATACAATACAAAAATTTGGCTTTTTGGTTGCTATTAAAAACGATATGTACCTGTGCTTTCGAACGAACACCTGCGAATAAGATCCTGAATCTGTCATTCCTTAGATGACACTTTTAATAGAATAGAAAGATAGAGGATGGAACTCTGCACATTTCTGTTTATTTGTTTTATTTTTTGCTAAATGTAAAAATAAATTTTCATGAACTAAATAGTCTTACGGGAAGTCTATCACTTTTGGGCGTTTGGAATAATAACTATGGTATCTGTAATTTTTCTATTATAAATCTAATATGAAAACTAATAACGTAGATTGATGAAGTTTATGTAGGATTAGACAAATATGATATTATACCTGTTTGATCCTACATAAACTTTATCGATCTACGTTATTAGTTTTCATATGGGATTTATAATAGAAAAATTACAAATACCATATTTGTTATTTAAAATGTCCAAAAGTAATAGGCTTCTCTAAGATTATTTAATCCATGAAAATTCTTATTCCTACATTCAAGAAACAACAAAATAAATAAAAGCAAATGCACAGAATTTCATGCTCAATCTTTCTATTCTATTAAAAGTGCCATCTAAGAGAGTGGCAGGATCTTAGCTGACAGTATCCTTTACTCGAATTTATATCGTTATTATGATCATGAAATCATTAAGAAAGGCAATAATAAAACATCTGAACGATCTCATGATCATAATAACGACAGAAATTCGAGAACAACAGTGCATATCGTTTTTTTGTATTGAAAAAACAAATCTAATTTTTTTTGTATTGTAGATAAAAGTGTTACGCTTTCTACAATGTTGGTTAAGCTTGTTCAATAGTAGAGTTATATACATTTATTAACCGATGATGACTTTTGGAACACTCTGTAGAAAGCTTTTTCTGACATATTAGAAGTGAGTTTTTTAGCATTACATAATTCTATGATATAGATGTATATATTACCTATTGGCAACTGCTCGTGCACATAATGTTTTTCCTGTACCTGGTGGTCCATATAATAGAACACCTTTAGGTGGTTCAATACCTAAATTAACAAATTTTTCTGGCTAAAAAGAAATCAAACATAACTGAATAATTTCTTTTGTAATTTTATTTTTTTTCATACATGTAAAAGAGGAAGTTCAACAACTTCTCGAAGTTTTTCAATTTGTTCTTTACAACCACCAACATCACTATATGTTACATCAGGTTTTTCTTCAACTTGCATCATTGTAACTGATGGATCAATTTTTGGTGGTAATGGTAAATGTATTTGATATTTATTTCGATCAACCCTTAATAAATATAAATAATAATAGAATAGAATTTTATAGAATTTTTACCCAACACGCATTCCTTCTTCAATATCTGTTGGTGAAACAGTATCAGCAAGATCAACAACAAATTTAGCAAATTGTTTAACATTAATTATATATTTTGCATCGTCACTACCTTCATTAATAATTTTTGTGCATCGTGCAACTTGTAATGGTTGTTCACCTAAAGCAAATATTGAGTTTAAAAATAAAATTATATATATTTTTTTTTTTTGAAATTTACTTTGAAGAGCTTGTTTATCTGCTGCTAAATCCCATAGTCCAGGTGGTGCAAGACCAGTATCTGATTCTTTAATACCTGATAATTCATTGACTCGTTTCAATATTGTTTGTACATCTTCTTCAGTTTGTTTAAGAGCTTTATCGTATGGTCCAGCTCCCTAAAATAATTCATAATAGATTGATTTTAATGAAATTATTTACTTACATAAGACTTTAGAAGTGCAATTTCGGCTTCATCAAGTGCTGAAACGAGAAGAATCGTTGAAATTCAATAGGAAAAAAAAGGAAATTCTTCACCTTTGATAGGTTTATCATTATCTTTATCATCTTTTTGTTTAGTTTTTCGTTGATCTTCTCCGAGATAATCAGGCATTTTTATAAAAATAGTATTATATTGATACGAATAACAAGTGAATGTAAAACAACTTGATGACTCATGTCATGAGTTTTTTTTTTAAAAGTATAAACTTTGTTTATATAAATTATATTCCAATTTACAAAAAAAGGATTAACAATAATTATTTTGGAGAAATAAAGTAATGAAAAATATTAAACAGCGACATCTATAGAGACATCTCGTTGTGATGGAGTTAAGTGTCGTACATGATGATATTAATGAATTAATACTTTCGGACTTCAGACTTGATCAATGCAAATATTTTTAAAAAACAGAACCTTAAGGATACACAATCTATTCGAAAAAAACAATATTGAAATAAAAGTCTAAAAATAAACCGGATAATTTTTATCCTCGTATGTTCAAACTGATGCATCAATTTTAAACGATTAATATATACACGGTGTTACATAAGTGTTGAGACTTGGCAAAAATTAGTTTATGTACAAACAAAAAATGATATCGAATCGAATGTATTTATATGGGATTTGAGTACTTGTATCGGTCTTTCGAGTAGCATATTGTTGAATGACATCTTCTCTTGTAATAATAAAAAAATAAACATGAGAATGTGATGACAAATTTTTCAAAATCGACTAGCATGATTTTTAAAGAGTTTCTAATAAAGTGCTGAATATATTTTACATAAAAATAGTGCAACAAGAACTAATAACTACGTAGTTATCTTACTCGTTTATTCGACGCCCGTCATGAGCCACTGACCACATTATGTACGTAACGAAAAAACAGCACCCTGTTTGCAAAACGAAAAATTTTCTTTTTACCGGCAGTGTTCATATCTTTTTCTCATTTAAAACATTTATTAAGGATATAGTCTGATTGATCGTTTCACCAGTGATTTCTCATAAGGCACAAATATACTATCAAAAAAATGTAATATCCATTTCTATTATTCTTTTGTTTTTATTTTTTTCAATTCAGTTTGATCTTATTTTTTTTTGCACGTGGTATTCATTTCGATATTCTCTATATATTCTTGATATCATATGTCTCGCAAGTTAGCTGACTCCAAGAAGAAGAATTGTTCCGACCATTCGTATTATTTTTACATCGTCAGAATCTGAATTGAACTGTGCCTGATATTGCAGATTTCCTCGAACAATCAGACGACCCACCGAACCTTAACGGACACGTTATTATAAACAAAATCCATTCTTAATGCGATGCGAAACACAGCATTTCTGTGGTCGGTCGCATATGCATTTGGTCTTCATATTTCGCGTGTTTTTCACCGTAACAAAATCTGTATTTGTGTCGCAATGATCTAGCAAAGAGTGTGTAGCTAAAAATTCGTTCGCACTTTGTCAGAGAGATAGCTGTCTCGAAATGATATAAACGTTTTTGGATCTTCAATAAGAGTTTTCGTCCCTCTTTAGTGAGTTCTGGAAAATGGCAATTTTGACAGCTTGGCCTCCAGGTTTTGCCCGATATAATTAAAAGTGGTGAGCTAGTCTCCAGCCAGCTATAAACGGTCAGTTCGTATGTTAATCGAAATCTCGTTGTCGAAAAATAAGATCGCTTCACACTGCGTTTATGTAGTCTTCGGGGAGTTTTCTTTTCCTTTTTTACTTACTGGACATACAAATCGAAAATTGTCATTTTCTTTGACGATGATCTCGAGAACGGAGAGTCAGAATATACGCAGATATTCAATCTCGAGAGTATGGGTGGGTGTGGGTGTAAGTGTTGTTGATTGTATCTTACCCACATCCACCCTTCTTTTTAGTCTTCTTCGAAGCAAGTAAAATTTTATTTATTATATATGTATATGTTTTTTGTCTCTTCTAGATATTGAACAGTGAAGAGAAAGATAACAGTGGGGTAAGTATTTGTTTTCTTTTCTATCTATGTATGATTAATTTATCTTTTTTGTCATCGATATCATCGTAGCACGTTGTGTCGTCCATTGCAAGTGTGGGTGAGATACAATAAATGACGCCTACACTCTTCCTTTCATCAATTCAATGTGATTTATTTAAAAGAAAAGAAAGAAAAAAAAATTAATAATTGTTTCGCGTCTATTCGATAGAGAAACGTTGAACACGATGATTGTTGGAATCGACGACATAGATATTACCATATCGACCGAAGGACA